ATATATATATATATATAATATATATATTAATATACTGGTATCGTCTATAACGCAATCTATGTACGAGAATGTGTATTCTCATGTAAGTGTACCTAAGAAAGAATGAAGGAGAGGAGAGGCGAAAAGGAGAGGTATAAATAAGACAAAGAGAGAGAGAGAGAGGTTAGCAGAAGAAAAGAGATGGCGAATAGGATTAGAAACAAGGCATGAAAAGAAATACAGAGAGAGAGAGAGAGAGAGAGAGAGAGAGAGCGAGCGAGAGAGAGAGACAGCAAGGGAGAGCGAACGAGATGGAGAGAGGCTTGGGCCTAATCCGCTGGTGAGAGCATGCAGAATAGGTCTACTAATAATACGAAACCAAAAATGTGCACAAATGGAGCTAATCGCTGTGGCTGTGTCGTATGAACAACGTACATTGTCGGCGGGCCCGCGCGACGGCGATACATCCTCCGTCGGACATACACGTCACGCGTCGTTTGACTGTGGACCCATTGCTTGGCGTTTTGTTGCGCTCGGCATTTGCTCGGGATACGGGGCGGCGGACCGGCGCCAGTCAGCAATGCATGCCAGTCGCGCTTTCACCTGGTATATGCGCGCGACTCGCTATTTTCACACGTAAATGGGAGTGCGAATTTGCTTTCGGCTCGACATGGGCAGCCGTTGACGAGAAGATTTTGTGTGTGAGAGATGACGGCGTAAGGCGTCATTTTGTGAGATTCATTTTTAGAAGGCCTCCGTCATTCGAGTGGCGAAACGGGCCGGGAGGGTTAACTGTAGCTAGGCGCGATAGTAGAGATCTCGTGAGTATAACCCAGGATTTTAGCAGCAACTTTGACTGTGTACTGCAATACTAATAGATTAAAACATCTAGATTAATAATTATTGATTATTTATTAATATTGAATAATGAATATTATTGTATAAATTAATCGTTAACCATTTGTGAGAAAAATCCTATAATAATCCTAATAGATAATTCCTATCTAACTAGAATGCTCATGCTCTAAACGTTAGGTATATATCTGATATATATAATATATATATTTTTTTTTTTTTTTTCAAGGCACATACTACTCCGCACAGACGTTCGGAAGGGCTAACGCGATACATCGATACGTAATACATAATTATTACAGTACGCACGCAGACTCACGCACGCCACGAGCGATTCACTGCACTCGCTCACACGATGTATATTCGTCGAGTTAAGCATACAGTTACGAGCTTGGCTTAATATAACGATTCTTCAGTCCACGCATTTTACATGACGTTATATTGCGTATCCATTTAGTAGTGCTTCAACCATTAAAATCTTTTCAACATGCGATAGAGAATCATATAATTCGTTGTTTGTAAAGTATAATTGAGTGAGTTTAAGTAATCACTTTACGGGCGTTGCTGAATCTTTCTTTATTTTTTTATTTTTTTGTGAGGCGCGGATGATACTATTTATTCTTAGTGGGATGCGCGAGAACGTCAACTATATAATATGATATAATATAATATTATAAATATATATAGTACGGTGACTACATCATGGTATATTTTTTGAATCAAACAATACAAAATAATTATTATTTGAAACAGTCAGTATATCTGGAATTGGGGAGGTCTAGTATATGGCTTATTGCCAGTCTCGCTATTGTATAAATAAATAAGTGTTGTGAGGATGTTAAATAAATACAATAATAAATTAACTATATACTATATATATAGTTACTGTGTGTGTGTGTGTATTGCGCGCGCGTGTGTGGTGAGTGTTGTGTGTGTGTGTGTGTGTGTGTGTGTGTGTGTTGGTGTTGTGTGTGTGTGTGTGTGGCATCTGTCTGTGTGTGTTCGTTGCGTGTGTGTGTGCGTGCGTGCGTGCGTGCGTGCGGCGTGTAGTTCTTGCCATGTGTATCTGAAATGTAAAAATAGCGGTACGAATTTGCTAAATATAGGCAGCTGTATAACATTATTACTCGCTCAGAAACAACGAAAACGGTAAAATGCATTTGTTAAATGTATGTATGACTGCGATATCATAAATTTACGTATATGTGGCAGTACTACCGCGAAGCCTATCCATTTAATTATCGCATCAACTATCGTGCATTATAATGTCTGTGCGGCACGAGATATCAGAGAGAGAGAGAGAGGAGAGAGAGAGAGAGGAGAGAGAAAGAGAGAGTAGAGAGAGAGAGGAGAGGAGAGAAGAGAGAGAGAATAGAGAGAGGAGAGAGAAAGAGGAGAAGGAAAGAGATGGGAGGGGGGGGGGGGGGGGGAAAGGGGGGGGAGAGGAGAGAGAGAGAAAGAGAGAGCGAGAGCAAGAGAGAAGGAGAGAAGAGAGGGAGAGAGAAGAGAGAGAGAGAAGCAGAAAGGAGAGAGAGAGAGAGAGAATAGTAGAGAGGCGAGAGCGAGAAGAAGACGAGAGAGAGAGAGAGAGGAGAGAGGAGCGGAAAGGAGGAGAGAGAGAGAGAGGAGATTCGGGGAGAGATGAGAGAGAGAGACGGATGAGAGGAGAGAGCAAGGGAGACGAGAGAAGAGGAAGAGAGAGGAGAGAGGAGAGAGAGAGAGAGAGAGACGATGAGAGGAAGAGGACAAGAGAGAGCAGGAGAGACGGATGAGACGAGAGACAGAGCGAGAAGAAGAGAGAGAGAGAGAGGAGAGAGAGAGAGAGAGAGAGAGAGAAAAGAGAGAGAGAGTGAGAGAGAGAGAGACGAGGAGCGAGAGAGAGAGAGAGGGAGAGAGAGATTAACGAGAGGGGAGATACGTACACGCGTACACGCCGAGAGAAAAGCAACACACACACACAACACACGCACCACACAACAGCAAGCACACCACACACACACGCCACACGCACACACGCACACGCACACACACACACACACACACCACACACGACACACACACACGCCACACACACACGCAGACACACACACGCACACACGCACACACACCACACACACAGCACACAACACACACACACACACATACACACACACACACACACACACACACAACATACACACACACACACACACACCAACACACACACACACACACACACACACACACACACGCACGCAACGCACGCACGCACGCACGCATAAATCGATTTTCTCTCCGTGAACAACACTGTCGTACATGACTGCCGGCCACATCGTGCGCTGGTTTAGCCGTAGATCAAAGAGCTCCGGGTCTGATGGCAAGTGTTGAATAATTTCGGAGATGTTCTTAAAGATAAAGGAATTGTTTAAAACGCGGCAGAGCGCCTTTGATCTTGCCGCGCCTGAGCGCGCCGCACTGGGCGTGGAAGCTGCATCTTAGAAACAGCCGTATAAGGACATGAATCTTTTGCGCGGCAGTTGTGAACGTCACAACATCTAGCGTTGTCGACAGAAGACACACGCTCTGTTGTCATGGAAACAGCGAACCAGTGGCATCTCATTCGCGCAGTCGAAGGTTGCCTTCCTGGTATAATAAATAAATAAATAAATAAATAAATAAATATATGAATAAAGAAATAAAGAAATAAAGAAATAGATCATTGAGTAACATGAATTATTAAAAAAAAAATACTTAACAAATACATATGTACGCACGCCCGCTCGTACATACACGTTGACGCACGCACATACGTACACCCTTACACATATACACACGCGCGCGCGCTTACACACAAATATTATCAAGGTCATAATATAATATAATAGGTCATAATATGAAATAATATGCAAATTCAAGCATAGCCAAATAAGATTGTCACTTAATTGCAATCGTAATAGATGACGAGCGAAACGACAGGATATTTATAGCTAATATATATAAGCTTGCTAGTAGCAAAACACGTCCTGTACGTGGCAACGTGATATCTGTACATGTATGCACCAACAAATCGTTCCGGCGAACTAACAAACCCATGAACGCTAATATTTATGATGTACATTGCCTCACAAAGGGACCTAAAAAGGATAGAATTTTAATAATTTTGGACGTTAATAATATTATCGACAAAAAATAATATTTCCCTCGCAATCTTTTATTTCACTATATTTTATTATCTCGCTCAAAAATACTTCTATTGCTGTATAGATTATTGATACAGTTAATTTTAACGAATAAAATAAAACCAGCCACTTAATTAATGTATATGCGGTTTACGTACGCAAGCAACTGGCGTTTTTGTATTAGCCACTTCCATAAATACATAATGAACATACACACCATATTGTATATATATATATAATATATTATATATATTATATATCTATATATATTATATATATTATATATAATATAGTTAATTGCTTTTAACAGAGTTTTGATTCAGTTAAATTACCGTCGCCATTCTGTCATGACTAATCAGACCATGTTTGCGTGCGCGCCTGGGACAAGATCACATCTGCTGCTCTCTGGCGTCGTTAACGTTACAGTAACGACGCAGGCACACTAATATAATGTGCTTATTAATTAATTATTCAATCTCGTAAAATCAGCACAGAAAACATACCCTTTGCGTTCTATAAATATCGGTAATTATCACCGGGTGTTAGAACGAAGCGACGGTCTCATATCAAGCAGTAGAGCATCCTTAAATTTATTCGCATTGAAGAAAAATACATTACTCGCATTTATCTTCAATACTAAAGCGTAGAATTGTAATGCAATATAATTTTTATACCTACAATGTCATCACTAACTATTATCAGCAGCGATTAAGTATTAAGTATTAAGTTTAAGCATTAGAAATCCGCTATTGATATAATCTTGTGCTTGCGCTTGTGTATGCGCATGTGTATTTGTGTGTTTTTCTCGATCGCGCCGCTATTATTTATGCCCGTGCTATTGGAAAGAGTTGGATAATCCGTTCAAATATGATCATATCAGACGCAAAAGAGCATATCATTACGGTATTCTTCCGAACGTAATATTATTATTCTAAAATACTAAGCCAATGTAGACGAAATGATAAGCTCACACGAAAACGTACGACAAAGACGACAATATTATTTTTATCCAGATTTAATAATCTCAAGTAGAACCACACCCGCGCGTTTTAGTAACTAGAGAACCAATCAACGCTCCTGAACTTTGCTGAATACGGGCACTTGCCAGCCCAGAAGCATGCACAACACATAGACGCTCATATACGCCACATATACGCCTCATATACGCACATAGACGCTTATATACGCACATATACGCACATAAGACGCACATAGACGCAGTCATCAAGCCGTCACATAAGCGAACACAAGCTGCTAATTCCGGCATTTAAAATGGCGGCTGATTCTCACGCCTCTCTCTCGCTTTCTCTTGCTTTCTCTCTTTTCCCCAATCTCTTTTTGGTGCTCCTTATCGTCTCTCTGTTCCTTCTCTTTGTACCCTCTCCCTACCTCCCCTCTCTCTCTTTCTAGTTCTCCTTTTTTCTGTCGTTCCTCCCTTTCTCATTCTCTCTAAGCCCTGCTCTCTTAAACTCTCTCACTCATCTCTCTCCCTCTCTCTCCTTTCCCTCCCCTCGTTCTCCCTCTCATAAGCGCTACACTGTCGCTCCATCGTTGACTGCTGTAATGTGATTACGTGTCGCAGCGTAACTTCGCTCGCGGCTGGCCGCCCACTTTGTCTAATGGTTAATTGTTGCGTCGGGCAGATCGCGCACCGCCTATCGGCGTTGATCGGGGCTTTGTTGCGCGGCGGTCCCCGCTGTGCGAGCACGGGCGACCCTTTATGCGCGCTCTCTCACCCAACACCTTCCCATATGGCGCCGAATGATCGACACACACACACATACACACACGCACGCACGCACGCACGCACGCACGCACGCACACACACACACACACACACACACACACACACACACATATATATATATATATATCCTCATTCATTCATTCGTTCGTTCTTTCGTTCGTTCGATTCTTCATTTATTCATTTATATATATTATATTCATATATATTATATATATATATATAATTATATACACTACGAGTGCAGACCATCTATGAGGGCATTATAGTAACTCTATACGGCGGCAGGGCGACGCTTACAGCGAGTTTTCTTGTAAACTATTTGCATTTACCTATAACTCCATCGCGGTGCGTCACGTGACCAGCATGATTACAGGCCAGCCATGAACGAAACGACCGCGGGTGAAATACAACACCCGCTACACCCGCTTATTACGGGTGTCCTCAACTAATTAGGCCGAAGCAGAAAAGACTCCAAAGTGAGACATCATTTCCTGTTTAGTATACGCGCGAGAAACCGACGCGAACGCCCCGTAAAAACTCCGTACGGCGTAACGACATGCGCAGCAGCAGGCAGTGAGAACGCCACGGGGGGAGTTTTACCACGCGCTCGCATTTTCACGGCGCGATTATACCGGCCGTAAACTCATAATCAAACGGATTTTATTGTGCGGCCCGCTAGAGGCGCTGCGATCGCCCGTGGCGGCCATGTCCGCGTGAGCCCCTCGCTGCATGACGTCACGCAGCCTCGTACTGCGAACACCTATAAAGTAATTCCGGTGCAGTTTTAGCGGCGAACTCCTAGGGGGTTTTCACCTCATTACGGTTACCTGCTTTCGGCCGTTTTTCGATTTGCGAGGAGACGGGCAGTCTGTGTGCCGGCAGAGTCGTAAAACTTCCACGTACGCGTCCACCAGCGGGTGCGACAATGAACGGTGGGGGAGCGGGAGGGGTGGAGCGGGGGGGGGTACGGTTTATAGAGTGGAAAGAGCGAGACGAATAACGTGGACAATAACCTCGCACGTTCAACGCGGGTGCACGCAAGTTTTACACGCAGGTGTCGAAATAGAAAATCTCATTCTTGACAAAATCGCCTAATATAAAGACTACATAAATTCGCGCGGCAGCTATTCTTAGAGAAACGCGGCGAGTGTCAAAAGAGTCGTTTCATTATCCTCCATGATAACTAATACTTTATTCTGCGCGTGCGATGACACGCCGTAACCTCTTCGCTGACGCATTTCCTTTGAAAGGACGTCGTGTATTTCTCCCACTAACTTCTATACCCCGTCAGCAACTGATCCCCCCGATCTTCCATTCACATTGAAACGACATCGCGTGCTACCACTACTAGATTTTATTCCCCGTTCGCAACTGACCCCCCCCCCCTTTCGGTTTGCTATCTTCCATCCCCTTTGAAACTACGTCGCCCCCACCAACCTCTACTCTGCTTTGGCAACTCATCGCCCCGTTTGCTATCTTCTACAGGCGAATGTTCCCGACGCTCAGGGTATCGTTTTCCGGTATCGAGCCGCAGCAGCGCTACCTGGTGTTCATCGACATCGTGCCCGTGGATAACAAGCGGTATCGATATGCATATCATCGATCTTCGTGGTTAGTCGCTGGCAAGGCTGACCCGCCTCTGCCGACAAGGTACGCGCGAGTTTGAGCTAGATTAGAATGTCTGTCAGGAAACGTCTCACGTAGGAGCGAGAGAACGAGTTAAAGGCGTGTGTGACACAGAGAGAGAGAGAGAGAGAGAGAGCGAGAGAGAGAGAGAGAGAGAGCGAGAAGAGAGAGAGAGAGAGAGAAAGAAAGAGAGAGAGAGAGA